CACTAACTCTGCTCTGAACCCCCTACGAGACATTTCAGGGAATAGAGACAGAAGTGGTTTCTACCGTGGGACCCCAGGGACCTCATAGCCAAGAGCTGTCAGGTAGACTTGGGTTTACTCAGCACTTACTGCATACTTGGACAAGTCCAATAACTTCTGGGGCTTTCTTTTCCTTATCAATAAGATGCAGATAATAAGAACCACTTCATGGGATGACCAGGATCATTCAGAAGTAATACACAAAAAGTGCAACGTGCAGCACCTGGCACATAGTAGGTGCTCCCTAAATGGAAGCTTTTATTGTTATTACCATTGGCAGCAGTAGTAGGGATGCTGGCAGCATTGCCTGGCCAACTCTTTGAGTGGGAGAGAGCATATGTGGACTTGCTGACAAAAATGTGTGGAAATGTTATGGGAGGGCAGGCAGCCCAGGTAGAGCTGTGTGCCAGGTGCTGTGCTAGGATTTTTCTGCATTTTCTTTAATCCTGACCACAGACTATTCTTAGTCTATTATCTATTCTCGTGGACAACATACACTTTTTTTAGTGTAAGTATGTCCCATGCAACATTTGGGATATACTTCTACTAGAAAAAAAATTAATTTGCTTTCTGCAATTCAAATTTAACTGGACATTCTGCATTTGAACTGGCAAACCTCGGAGGGGAGTCGTTAGTTCTGGGACTCTAAAATGGTGCCCGGCTCTAGGTATGCCTCAGGAATGCACATTTGCACAGACGGCCTCCATGCCTCCGCACGTTCTGCACTCCTAGCTGGTGACCTTCTACAGCTGTCCTTGGTTCCTCCGGCGCCTGGCTTTCTCCTCCCTCTCTCCCCATTCCCCAACAGTTTCTCCTGGGGCATGCAGTAACTGTGGGCAAGGCAGGAATGTCTCTGACAGCTGGCAGTGCACATGGGAGGGGCAAGGTGAGAACTGGTTTAAAAATACATAGTAGTCAGCTGGTCCCATGTGCCTCAATCCAACTCCCAGGGAAATGCTAGCCACTTTCTGTGCTCGCCACCACTGCCACCTGCCCTCTGTTTAGGGTCTTTTCTCTTTGCTGTGTTTCATAAGAAAACAAAAAAGAAAGCGCTCTTGCTGAGAACTTTTGCTTATGGAAGGAGAACTTCAAAAATATGCCTCAGTTTCCCTTGATGGCAGTGTGACATTCTGAGATAATGGATAATCCTTTAAAAAAAAAAGATTTATGACTGTCAAACTCATTCATAGAAATGCACACGTTAAAGATTTTATTTAACTTATTAATCAGGAAACCGGCATTACAACCAGTTCAAAAAAAGTAATAAAGACCACACATTTATATAGAGTAAAGGAATGCTGAAATGAATGAGAAAATGGACTTAAAACTGGCTTAGGACATGTTAAAGGCTGAACTATGTCTCCCCCAAATTCCCATGTTAAAATGCTAACCCTCAGGTAGTTTAGACTGTGACCAAATTTGGCGATAGGGTCTTTAAAGAGGTGATTAAGTTAAAATGAGGCCACTAGGATGGACCTTGACCTGATATGACTTGTGTCCCTATAAGGAGAAGAAATTTTCACACAGACACAAATGGAAGGAAAACCATGGGCAGACAGGACAGGAGGCCATCTAGACCTCAAGGAGAGAGGCATCAAAGGAATCAATTCCATTAACCCTTGATCTGGACTCCCAGCCTCCAGAACTGTGAGATAATAAATTTGTGTTGTTTAAGCCACCCAGTCTGTGGTACTTTGTTCTCACAGCCCTAATAAACTAATATAGTGGGGAAGGGCCATTTACATGTTTATAGACAAGAATTATTTTGCACCTCTTCATTTGTTATCTACAATTTATTGACTTGTAAAATAACTCCTTAGAATCAAATAACCCAGTCAGTTGAATAATAAGACTTAATTTATGATGGGGATCAGTAAACTACTGCTTGGGGGCCATGTCCAGGCCCACCACCTATTTTTGTAAAGAGAGTTTTCTTGGCGCACACCCATGCTCAGTCCTTTATGTCACATCTATGGCTGCTCTCTCACTATAAAGGCAGAGTTAAGTAGTTGCTGTCTGCAATGTCTAAAATATTTACTATCTGTTCTTTTACAGAAAAAGTTTGCCGATCCACCTCTAGACAACACTTCATTTTCCACTGAAGCACAAATCTTTCCCTACTATTGGAATACCATTCAAGGCCATCCAGTCCAGGGATTCCCAGACTATGAGATTTCACAGGTCAATCAAATTTCAAAATAAATATTTGAGGGACAACCAGAGGATCTTAAATTTTTACTTTTGTCAAGTACCAACTACTTCATAAAAGAAGGCATTTTAATGACTTCCTGGCAGAAGACATTTTGAAGTTAATAGTGCATGAAATCCTTGCTTGTTCTTTCTCTCATTTCTCTGAGGTTTGGAAAGAACATCACCACTCCCAGCCACATTCATATTCTGGGCTGTGAAACCACTGTTACAACCCAACCTTAGGCACCAGCTGCTGGCTTTGTCCTGGGAGACCTGCTGGCTCAGATGGGGAGTCCTGGCCTTACCCCTGGTACCCAGGCAGATGTCCTTGGGCCTGGAGGGGGGTTCTCAGGAGCTGGTTTATTCCAGAGCCAGCCTTGGCACAGCCCACACACCCAGGTCCAATTATAATGGGTCCTGCCTTACTTTAAATAATACCCCGCTTTTTAAAAGACAGATGTGTTTGGGGCAGAAAACTTGAGGAAAAAATGGAAAGAATGAAATTCATCTCTACCTGGAGAGATATAAGTTTTACTGAGGCACACGGAGAACAAAAGCACTTTCCAACCAAAAAATCCTAGTGGGAAAAACCCAGCTTATTTCCCAAAACCAAAATGGAACCCAGCACATGGCAGGCACCAATATTTAATGAAAGAATAACTAAAACTAAATAACTGGAATTATTTTTTCCTAGATGATCCAAGAAAACTCAGGGAGTCTTTTTCATTTTTTGATAATCAAAATGACTAATATGGTAAATCTTCCAGGAAAAAAACATTTGTTATATCCATTTTTTTCCCCTTGAACATAATAAAACATGTGCTACTCTTTATCCAGGGAACATTAACTGATTTCACTGAAGAATGACTCTAGAGCTCAATGTTTAAGAGTTTTAGCAGGGGGGTTTCCTTGCATGTAGTTACATTGCTCTGACTGCAAATATCTCGCCCTGCCCCCTCCAGAGGCCCTCACCCTACTCTGACTACATCCACCGTCCCTGTCTTATTCCCCCCTCTACAGATAGAGACCCTAGCTGCTGCTAGGGAAAGGGGGAGATGACTGCTCTGGCTGCTTCACGCTGAAAGGGGGCACAGTAAGGGGTGCAGCTAGGTCTCCATCAGCGGTCATTCGAGAGGACCTCGGAAGATGGGCACTTTTATTCCAGGTTCTAGTTCTATTTGCAGTTTTGTGGCTTCTAGGTAAGATGGAACAAATTGTGTTATTAGGTTGAGTAGCAATATCTGGAGTTGGATTTTCCATTCTGGAAGGACAACCTTGATGAGATTAAGAATGCATGGTTGAATATGAGAATTAGAAATAGTAAAACTTTCATTGCAATGATAGGAGAAAACTAAAACATCTAGAGAATCATAGCTAGATATTTTGAAGAAGCTAGAATTCTGAATCTAGACTAGTATTAGGATTTAGTACAGATAAGGCTGCATTATTGAAACACTACTTTTCTCTAAAATCACCTTCATTTTTATTAGAAGTAACCAGGTTAAGAAAATAATTAACACTTGGCTTTATGATTTGCATAAGTGCAGCAAGAAGAGCAATTGATTACATAGGCTCTTTTAAACGTGTCTTGCTGGAACTTTTTGTAAGGAATTTCAGATTGGACTTTAAAAAGGCCTCTTGAGGCCAGACAGCCAAGCCAGACTTGCCATCAGGTTTTGCCTGCAGTACCTGTAGATTTGGGTGGAATTCCTCTTTTCTCCAGGTCTCTAAGACACGTATGATTGAAATTTTGAGCAACCAAAACAAGGACCCATTTGTAATAACATTTGCACCAACATGGCCATGCTTCCCGGACTTGCCTGCACGTTAGAATCACCTGCAGAGCTTTGGAAACTCTAGATGCCAGGCTGTACCCCAGACTAATTGGAACCTGGGTGTGGGAGTCAGACAGTAGCATTTTTTAAAGTTTCCCAGGTGATTCCAAAGTTCACCAAAGTTTGGGAACCAATAGTACATGGAACTACGCATGCATGCAACTTGTAGCATACTACTTAAAGGACGTGATTCACAGAGTACTTTAACTCACAGATCTCATGTATATTTAAAATACTTCACATTTAAAATATAACCACTTTACGTTTAACATATTTAAAATAACTTATAGTGGTAAAATATTAAAAATATTAAAAAGAGACTGCCAGTAAATTAAAAATTATCCTGTGATTTGACATATTACCAAAATATTACAATCCACTCCTTTTTGGGGGAGGAGTATCAGGAACATTTATTTCCAGTTTCAAAATTCTTTTTATAAATACAGAAGCAGAAGAAATGCTGAAAGATGAAGGGAAGAAAGGATATAAACAAAGGAAAACTAAAATGATTATTTACTAAGAATGGCAAATGCTCACTTTCCCAGTACACCACAAAGTTCCATTCTCTGTTCCTAGGACTTTGTGTAATTTTCAGGGATATGATGGTGGAGGGCCCCATGCTCTTAGGTCATCAAAATAAACCTGAGTGTTCCTTTTTCCAGCCCTCAGTGAAAACTGAGACTTGACTGTCTTTATGAAAAAAGAAAGAAAGAGAGGAAGGAAGGAAGGAAGGAAGGAAGGAAGGAAGGAAGGAAGGAAGGAAGGAAGGAAGGAAGGAAGGAAGGAGGGAAGGAAGGAAGGGAGGGAAGGAGGGAGGGGAGGGGTGAAAGTGTGTCCTAGGGGTGAGCTCGGTCTATTCTTTGAACTGTTCTATGGTTGAAATGCCCCTCCTGCTTGATCAGTCACCATTCAACAGATTTTTTTTGTTAGAAACATTCAAGGATTATGTCAGCAGAGACTTCTGCTGGCTGGCTGTTAGGGAAAACAACTTATAATAACAAACACATGCCAGACTTGAATGAATTACCCTCCCCGCAACCTGTGGACCTGTTGGGGTCATTCAGTTCTTCAAACAGTCCCGTTTCTATAATCTCTTCCTGCCATGCTATGGGGACAGCACCTGTTGCAAATCTTTGGAAAAACATCTTATCTTTATCATCAAATTCAACTCCCCGAACTTCAGAGAAATCTTCGATTTCAGCTTACCCTCCCCGCAACCTGTGGACCTGTTGGGGTCATTCAGTTCTTCAAACAGTCCCGTTTCTATAATCTCTTCCTGCCATGCTATGGGGACAGCACCTGTTGCAAATCTTTGGAAAAACATCTTATCTTTATCATCAAATTCAACTCCCCGAACTTCAGAGAAATCTTCGATTTCAGCTACGTCTTTGGCATAAACCACCAATGGGTCTGGCACAAATGGGGGTTCAACTAGGCTGGCTTCCAGGCGAGGAAAATTGATGGTTTTGAAGAAAGAGTGTTTCCTGGGATCATCAGACTTTTCTCTGTGAAGAAAGGAGATGGTCAGCCTGAGACCCAGTTAACAAACCAAAATAGGAAATGTTCTAATGATACAAAATATGTGGTATTCTTTTTCTACATTTCATTTTAACTGCAGACAATATAATAACATAGTGAATAATTTAGAAAAATAATAACTTTAGAAATCACCCATGATTCCCCATGAGCAGACAGTAGCACTCATTGTTTGCAGACCACCTCCACAAGTAGACGTAATTTTTAGATTTTAGCTTTAGAGTCAAGCAGTTGACGTGACTTTCCTTCTTGGGGAGGGTTACTGACATAAATTGAAGCTGTAAAGCTAATCACTGTGATCTTTTGCACAAGTGACTCAAATCAGTTACGCAATTGGAAGAAGCATGAAGATTATTTTACTCTTGACTCTTTCCTTGGAAACTCTGCAAGGCTGTTTTGGTCCATCATCATATGGTGCACCACAGACAATAGGGGAGGCTATCGGGGGAGGGATAGCCAGACAGGCAGCTGTAGGGGATGCCTCCTGTGTGTCAGAGTAGAATGTATTTCAGAGCATTAACAGGGACTCTTGACTTTATGGAACCCCACACAGTGGGTTTTCTTACAACAGCCAAGGAAGACAAGATACCACATGCCAGTGTGTGAGAACCATATGGTGGGGCTCGGTCTGCCAAGAACAGTGGGTATTGGCATGACCTTGCGTGGTTATTTGCTTTTGTTCTTCTGCATTAACTGATCAGAATAAAACCTGCAATATACTTGAATGGTTTCACCCTTTATTTTATTGGAAAACGCCACAGCTGACTGCATCTGGAGCCCCTGTGAGATGCTCAGAAAAGCTTTGGGCTTCTCTGTAAAATTAACTGACAGACCTATAAAGGCAAAGGAGATCCTTTTCCATGCTGTCTAGAGGAGAAGGGTTTTTAATTTATTTCAAATGCTTGTGAATGCAACCAGGAGGGGGGACTTGACCTCTCCGCTGTGTAACATGCTGTCCAAGCATTTGCTCAGCTTTGGAAGACACCCATCAAATTAATCAAATGTTATCTCACTTGAACAAATTTTTTAAAAATACATAGATTTGTAATGAAGATGTTGGACGGTTTTCTCTTTCATGGAGCAGCTGGTTTTTATATGCCTTTTCTCTAATGTCGTAAACAGTTTTATTCAAAACAGCCACAAAAACAGATGCCTTATAGAAAGGTTTTGCTTTGCTGAAGCAGCTTCAGGCAATGATCCAGTGCTTTCAGGTGGTGTTTTCTTGAAGATGCTTGCTGATATTTCATTTTATAGACCCACAGTGTGCTTATAAAGAATTGAAATAGGTTTTCAGACAAAGATGCCAAGTGGGTGGTGTTCTCTTGAGGGAAAGCATCGAAAGAGAGGGTTTGCCTTCCCCACTGCTTCAGCCTCTGTTGTGTGCCTTCTGATTTCCCTGCACTTGAGAACCAGAGCAGCAGAGATGGTCAGTGGTCACTCTATCCAGTTCCCCTCTCCTTCCTGGGTACACAGAAGACAATGCTAGCCAGCCCCCTCACCCTTAGGCAGGGCCTGAGGACTCATTCTGGCCAACAGAAGTGTGTATGAACTGCCGGGCGAAGTGGGTCACTTCCCGCTGAGGTCACACAGCACTCCTGGGTTCTCTGTGCTCTCTTTCTCTTGCCACAGCAACTGGAAGCCACCAGTTCGAATGGAGCTATCGGATGGAAGCAGCCTGGATCCCAGCCACTGCTCAGAGAGAGGTAATCCGGTTGCTGTTGGACTCGTAATGGACTTTGTGTGAATGAGAAGTAATCCTTTAGTTTGAAGCTGCTGAGACTTTATGATTTGCTTGTCATCATAACATGGTCTACACGTTGGAATCTACACAGGAAAATCAGTTCCACATTTTATTTCACATAGATGTACTGTTCCATCTAATTTCAAAATATTCATTTGTTAGCTACTGGTTATCTGTCATGTTTTGAAAGTTATTACAAATGAATTTTGTCTGTCTATTTTTTTTAAAATCAGGTCAAAAAGTAAAAGCTGATTCCATACTCAAGCATTTTGAGCTAAGGCAGACAGCCTTGTTCTAGAAGCTTCACTGGCAGTTTTTTAGAAGATTGAGAGTAATATGGTTGCCTAAGTTTTGATGCAGTACCAAAAGTCAGTCACATCACTTTATAGCTGTAGCTTTCAAATTTGTATATAATTTTAGATTTTGAAAACTTAATCCAAGTAATTTAAGACATTCAGGCTCATAGTTTAATCAAAATAGTATCTGGTATTTCCCTTAGAACAAATTAATAATTACTATCACTTAATGAATGATTCCTAACAGACATTATACCTAACTTTACATACATTATATTTAAACCTCAAAATATCCATACTGTATTAGTCAGGGCTCTCCAGAGACACAGGACCATCAGGGCGTTCAAGGGGTCCAGAATGCACCACAATGGCATACAAATTATTTTGAGCTGAAGGCATTTGTGAGTCAACAGACGCAGGCTAACTCCTTTTATCTGCCTAAATGCAGAGCCTCCCAAAAGAACTCAATTTATACATCCTCTCCCCAGGAGTTCTGGGAGTTTCAAAAATCAGAAAAGATTGACCCATATCACCAGTGACGGAAGTCAGCACCACACATAAATGGACATTGTCACACAACTGTATCTTCTTTCTATTCTTGTAGAGCCCTTTTATCTTTCCTAAGTCTTTGGTTCTCCATAAGTGCCCTTTCCTCCACAATTTCTAATAAGTCATTTGTTTTCCTGAAAGTGTCCTTCTCCCTCTCTCCTGTTAGGGTGGTATATAAGTCCCTAGACATATTTTTCTGTGAACTCCTGTGTACTAGGTACATAAATAAAAATCTGTTTTTTTTTTCTCTTGCTAATCTCTTTTTTATTTTATTTTATTTTGGTATCATTAATCTACAATTACATGAAGAACATTATGTTTACTAGGCTCCCCCCTTCACCAAGTCTCCCCCACAAACCCCATTATAGTCACTGTCCATCAGTGTAGTAAGATGCCATAGAATCACTGCTGTCTTCTCTGTGTTGTACAGCCCTCCCTATGCCCCCCCACCACATTATACAAGCTAATCGTAATGCCCCCTTTCTTTTTCCCCTCCCTAATCTCTTTTTTAACAGTCTAATGTGCAGGCCTCAATTCCTAAACCTAAGAGAGTAGAGGAAAAGTTTTTTCTTCCTGGCAGTATGTGTGCATGTATATGAGCAAAGTAAGGAGAGACAAAGGCTTATATTAAGGAATTGGCTCACATGACCTTGGAGGCTTGGCAAGCCCAAATTCTGCAATGCTGGGAATCCAGGGAAGACTTTCAGGTCAAGTCCAAAGGTGGTTTGCTGGCAGAATTCCCTCCTCTCCTGGGGAGGTCAATCTTTTTCTATTAAAGCCTTCAACTGATTGGATGAGGCCCATCCATATTATGTAGAATAATCTGCTTTACTCAATACCTATTGATTTATATATTAAGCTCATATAAAAAACATACCTTCACAGAAACATCTAGAATAATGTTTAATCAAATTTTTGAGTACTGTGGTCTAGTCAAGTTGACACATAAAACTCATTGTAATACCCACAAACTCCCATTATATATGTGAATATATTGAGACTCAGAAGATGCAATTCAATTGCTTTGAATACAATGATCAATACATAGTAGAGCTGCCATGTGAGGCTATGTTTGTGACTCTAAAACCCTTGGTTTTCTCTCTACAGTAATACAGTCACCCATTCCCAAGGGTCTTTTCACAGGCCTAATTTAACTTATCATTTTATTTTTTAAATATCTTGATTTTACTATTCCAGTGTAAGCAATAAAACTTGCCTTTCCTCAAAACTAATTTCAGCTGTATTTAACATAGGTGGCAATATCATATGTACTCACTATCTGTTGATTGACTGAGGGTATTTTACACAGATGTACAAAAGGGGCAGAATTTCCCAGAGATAAGGCCGTCAATACTAATGGTTTTAAGTTTTAATTTTATTCATTTGTAAATACATAATTCATTCACATGATTCAAAATTCAAAAGATAATTGTGTTATATAGTGAAATCCTCATTTGTATCCTTGTCACCAGCCCCCAACCAACTTACCTTTATTTGAGCCAACCAATCCTATACATCCTTTGTATACTTTGCCCCAAATATGCAATTACTTGAATCCCATATTCTTTTTCTTTTTTTTTCATGTATGATGCTTTACACCTCACTTTTTTACTTAAAAATATTTTTTGGAGATTGTTCCATATCAAGTGCTCATAGTTTTCAAAGTTTCAGAAATACTTAACCATACAAAATGTAAATAATAATAGGGAAATAATACTACTACTTTATCCCTAGGCTTTGTCGCTAATCCAATCACTGTGGACAATGCTGACATCACTAATTATCTTTGTTATATGGCAGTTTACCTGCTTCCTAAGCGTTGCTCTGGTTTCTTAGCCAAGAAGAGTCTGCAAATATCTTTTGCTTCCTCTGTGAAGTTACTGTGTTGGAATCTGACCTCCTCCTTCAAGGTTCTTTGCTTTAAGTCCTCTTTACTGACTTTTTCCTCATATTCTTTGAATGGTGTTCGTCCAGCAACCATTTCATAAATAGTGCATCCCATTGCAAACCAGTCCACAGGATAGGAATAACTCACTTTATCCATTAGGATTTCAGGAGCCATATAACCCTTGGTTCCAGCCTGTAGTACCCCAAAAAAAATAAAATAAAACAAAACAAGAACACTAACATGAGTGTAACAGACACTGCTGATTGTCTATCCAATATCCACTATCCTTTTCTTTTTTTTTTTTTTCAAGGTAGGAGAGCCAGGGAGAGGCTTTTATTTAGAAATAAAGTGAGAGAATAGAGCTCCTGGCTCATGCCAGGAGGGGACAAGAGAGTCCCTATCCTTTTCTTTCTTTGTTAGGGGAACCCAAATTAATGGGGGTAACCATGTATTTAACCTTCTCGGTTTCCTGCTTTCCCAGCAGCCTGTGGTGCCATCAGGACAGGCCATGTGATCCATTCTGGCCAATGAGACATAAAGAGAATTGGGCTGGAGTGCATTCTAAAGGGGACAGCTGTGGCTGCTCTTGAAATGGGAAAATCACCCAGCCTCTCTTAGTCTCATTACCTCATCTTGTAGATGAAAAGTTTAAGTGGCTGTCTTAACAATCCCCTAAGCTCTGCCTCTGCATTTTATTTATAGAAAATTAGATGTATCATTTTTTTAAGATTTGAGCACCTTATTGCTAATATTGCATGTTCACAGAATATTAACTGGTCTATGATATTTCTTACTCTGTATGCTCTACATATATTACTATATGCTCTACATTACATAATGATACTAATATCACATATCTCTGCCTGTGTGTTTCTGCACTGAAAAATTGACACTGTCATTGTAAACTAGAAAATTCCACACATTTAACCTGCTTCATTTAACATGCATGACTATATGTTGTAGGCACACTTCTACTGACAATATATGCCAATTGACCATTGGGTTAAATTTATATACTTATATATATGTAATTTTTCTTTTGTAAAATACACATACCATGAAAATAACCATCTTAATACATTTTAAGTGTACAGCTAAAGATACTAAGTACATTCACATTATTTTGTAACCGATCTCCAGAGCTCTTTTCATCTTGCAAAACTGAAACTCTATACCCTTTATGACTACCCATTGCCCCCACTTCCCAGGCTCTGGCAACCACCATTCTGCTTTCTGTCTCTATGAATTTGGCTACTCTATATGTGAGTGGAATCATGCAGTGTTTGTCTTTTTGTGACTGTGTGTAATTTTAATACATCCGTTCATTCAACAACTACTTAATGAATACCTGCAACAGACATTGCAATTGTAACATACATATTTATATTATGTCTTCATAAAAACTAAGTTACGTTTGGTTGAAGTGTAATGTATAACCTCTGCAACAATTAAAAATGCAAACAAAGAACTCCCTAAAATGACAATGGACTTCTATTAGCATATAAAATGATAATATAAATTATTGGCAGAGTTGTGAGAAACAGACATGCCTTATAAATTGACTCAGACTCTTAGGAAAGCAATAAGACATAGGGAGATAGAAAACAAGATACATCAACTATTCCCATCCTTCAATCAGGTTATTTAACTCAGAAGTACATGCCTCAAAGAAACGACTCAGAAGAAAGAAAAAGGATTGCCTATTAAGATTTTCATAGCTCCATTATTCATAATGGTCACAAGCCGGAAACATCCAAATGCCCAACAACAAAGACCACAGACCAGGACCTACTGTTAAGACCAAGAAATGTATATATGTAATGGATTTCACACATGGGTTAAAATATGTATTTCAGCACATCAAAAAAGATTGGAAAGTGTTTTTAACTGCTCATTACATGATTTTGTTCTAATTGCTTAAATACGTATGTTTTATGTGCACAGTGTATGTTTAGGGATATTAACTTTCATGGATAACAACAGTGAAGGACAAAAATGGCCCAGGCACTAATGAGCAGTAATTGGCCTCTACAAAAACATTCTGGAAGTGACTGGGAGTCTGACAAGCTGGGCATGAGTCAGTGTGGGAATGTTCTTTTCATAGAAGCTGATGTGTAATTTGGGTGACCATATGTTCTAGTTTGCCTGGGACAGTCTCAGTTTACATCTGTCACCCTGGCATCTTATTCAGCTTTCCACTTGTTCAGGCGAAAGGGTCTTGTAAGCTCCTTTGAGGCCTAGGGTATAGTCTTACTCATTTCTGTATCTAAACCAGGTACTTACAGCAGGGCCTCATTTGGGGCATGTCCAACCAAAGTTTGTTAAATAAACAACAGTAAAGATGGTAACTAGATGTTTTCCATTCACTATCCAACAAAAATTTATTGAGCTGTGTCCTATGGTAGTTCTAGGGATACCAAGACATAAAAGGCCTGGTCCCTAACCTTGAGGATTTACAGGCTGGTGGAGACAGGCAGGCTCAAAGGTTAATTCAGTAAAGTGGGGAATATGCCATAATGGGAGTGTAAAACAGCACAGGGAGGCTAGAGGGTGTGTGTGTGTATTGGGGATACTGCATTGAAGAGTGACAGCTAAGCTGAGTCATGAAGGAAGGATCTGTCACACAGGCAAGGTTACCAAGGTAATGAGCATGTGCAGGAGATGGAGTCAGGGAAAATGTGGACTGCATAGGGAACCTGAAGAAATTTGGCATTTCTGGAATATAAAAATCTGTGCGATGAAATGATAGGAGGGGAGACTTGTGGATGAGACTGAGAAATGCTGCATGCCAAGGTAGCAAAAATCCATTCCCAGTTTCCCAGTCCCCTTTGTGACAGAGGCCAGAAGGCTGAGTTCTCCACTGCCCAGCCTCCTTTGCACCATACGGTGTAAGTTCTATTGGAAAGGTGCATATTGTGAAGGTGCTGAGCATTGGGGAAACAGGAAATTAAATTATGTGGAAATACATAAAAGATATAAGATGAAAAAATGGAGCAATAGAGGGATGGAGAGAAACATGATAAGGCAAATCTAATAAAATGTTAATGATACACAATGGAATATTGTTCGGCAATAAAAAAGGACAAAGTACTGATTCTTTCTATAACATGGACAAACCCTGAAAACATATGTTAAGTGCTAGTCATAAAAGGCTACATATTGTGTGATTCTCTTTAGACACAATGTCCAAATAGGCAATTTCATAGATCCATAAAGTAGATTAAAGGTTACTTAGAGTTAGGAAAGGGCCATGGAAGTGACTGCTAAAGGATAAGGGGTTTCTTTTCTGGGTGAAAGAAACACTCTAAAAGAGTGATAATGTTTGCATATCTCTGTGAATATACTAAAGACCACTGAATTTTATACTTTAAATGGGTCAGTTTTATGATATTTAAATTATACCTCAATAAAGCTGTTTTAAACATCAGTGGTAACGAGGTATTGGGTATACAAGTGCTTCCTGTGAAATTCTTTCAACTTTCCTATGTGTTTGAAGGTTTTCATAACAGAATATAGTGGGGGAAAAGGAGTGAGGGAAGGGGCATTGATGCCAGGCATTACCACACTGGCTGCTAGTTTCAGGCACAAGGGACTCTTCTGGAAGGGTCACAAGGAGGACCCAAAGGGGAGAGAGGGGGAGGGTAATCTAACTGCCCAGCTCCCTCCCAGCTCCCATTCCATTAGTCAAGGATTACCCAAAAGTTAACTTATTTAGATTTCCAGATATGTCACCCACATACTTAACAGCTGCCTGGACACCAGTCCCATATCCCTCAGTATGGTATTTCATCCAGTTCTAAAAACAGAGGAACAGCTTGGCCTAGAAGTAGTGCCAGCAGTATAGTGTCCCAGAGAGAGAAAAGGAGGCAGCAGAGGGACTGTAAGAAGATGTGTGAGGCTCGTGGCCTTGTACACCAGCTGGATGACATTTCTCAATGATGTACTTTAGGATGGGACTGTTTTCATCCAGCTGGCTGCTGGCTGGCTTCTCAGTGCAGAAACTAATGGCTGTCAGTAGTGGAAATTTTTCCCGTATTATTTCTTTGTCATTTTCTCCTTTTCATTTTCTTTGCTCTCTTTTTTTGAAATCCTGAAGTTATCCTTTATGCTTCTTATCTTTCATTCTTATTTTACATCTCTTTGTCTTTTTTCTTTTCCCGGGAGACTTCCTCTATTTTTTTCTTCCAATGCTTCTGTTTTTTCAAAAAAAGGTGTTCTGTTATGGGAAATTTCAAGCATATACAAAAAGAGACTAGAATAATATCCAGTGTATGCGACACCCAACTTTAACAAAACACAAGGCCAGTCATGTTCCATCTGTGTCCCTACCCACTCCCGCTGCCACAGATTACCTTAGATATCATATAATTTGTAAGTATTTCACTATGAATCTCTAAAAGACAAGGTCACTTAAAAGAAACAAAGCTCTTACCATTAGCTCACTGTAAAAATACCAACAGTTCTTTACCATTATCAAATATCTAGACATATTTGCACTTTTCCAGTTGTCCTATAAACTTGTAAATAGTTTGTTTAAATTTGGATCCAAATAAGGTTCATACAATGTGATTGATAGGTTTCTTAAATCTCTGTGAATATATGTTTCTTCTCTTTCTGTCTTCCCCATACTTTGAAAATTTTTGATGGAGGAAACTGGCTAAACTGTAAAGTTTCCCACAGTCAGATTTTATGGACTGCATCCCTACAGTGTCATTTAATATGTTCCTCTGTTCTTTGTGTGTCCTCTAAATTGATAATTAGATCTAGAGGCTTAATCCTTCTGTTGAACTTCTCATTTCAGCACATGTATTTTTTTATTAACATGTAATTAATATAGAATAATGTGCACAGATCTTAGATATTTTGCTGATGAATTTGATAATTGAATACACCCATGTAAATACCACCCAAGCAAGATATGGAACATTTCCATCTACTGAGTGCCTCTTTCTAGTCCATTCTCCTCCCTACTTCCCAGGCAACCACTTTCTGATTTCTGTCACCATAGATTAGTTATGTCTATTCTTAGATTTTATGTAAATGGAATTGTATGGTGAATACTCTTTTCTTAACATAATGTTTTAAGATTTATCCATGCTGTTCTGCAAACGTATTTCTGTATTTTTTATTTCCACATGTGCTCGTTGTTCTTCTTCTTCCTTGTTTTATAATCTGTTTTTGTTTTATGGATT